TGCTATAATCTCTTGTGTGCTTATATACTACTAGGCCACAACTGCAAACAATATAAGCTTCTCAGACCTACTGCTGGTCTACTAGGTAACACCCCTACAGAGCCTAGGGAACAGGCAAACTGTAGATGTGTAGCTTTGTTTCTTGTGCAAAGGAAGCTCAGACTTTCCTTCCCCAGACTGGCCAAATGGCATTCCAGAGCATTTGACTCAGGACAATAGGATTTTTGCATAACCAGGTGCGGTAAAGACTGGAGCAGAACTCCTGGTCCAGACATAGTCACATGGCTGGAGAGAAAGGAACAAGGCAGATCTCTTGTAGAGGATAAGGCTGGGTCAGGTCAGGAAAGTAGAGAGAGAAAAAATGAGCATGGGTGGAGAAACTGAAGATGAAGATGAAATCAAAAGCATAAGAGCTTAGTTAGGGCTATGAGGGGACAGAAAAAGAAGGGACAGAGAGGAGCTGAGAGTCAGAATGGACGCTGTGTAGATAGAAGTTTGTTATAGAGAAATAAAGTAAACGGACGTAAGAAACTGGTGTACATAGATTCTTTTCATTCAGATTATCCCATCTCCAGCTGAAGCATTTTCCCCAGGACTCTGGGAGAAGTCTTCTCAGGGCAGGCCCCTGAGAAAATTCTGATATAGGCCAAGCTTTCATAATTAATAAGAAGTCTCTGTGTCATGACTTAGGGGCTGGTGGTACAAAAAAGCCTGCTACAATTACTGTTCATCATGGTATTTCATCACAGCAATAGTATCCCTAACTAAGACATTTATCAAAGTTTTGTTTCTGAAAGATGGTCATATAAGTTTGATCCTATATGACATTTATAGATTTCCATGTGTGGACTGTGTCACCCACATGATGACGAATGATCTTTTTCCATGTGATAGTTGGTTGTTAGTATTTTGTCTGGAGTTTTGCATCTACTTAAGGTAGGGTAGGGTAGGCTCAGGCTCTGCTCAGCTGGAACGTGGAATCATTCAGATTTAGCTCAGACCCATGGGTATTGACTTGTAGCTATGTTCTCTGGTGCTGGTCTGAAGACTGTGTATTCAGATGAGGGTCTAGAGGCAACCCAGTCTGGATCTGGGTTCTTTGGAGCCAGCCTGGAACTAAGATACAAAAGAGTAGTTGTGGAGGCTGAGTTCAGCTCTGAAGTTTAGAGACAGGCTTGAGACTTGAGTCTGCTGGAATATGGGATTACAAAGGTCAAGGAGCATCAAGCTATACGGCTTGGATATTGTGTTTGCAGGTGCTTAGCTGGTATTTAAGGCCAGAGCTGCTGACTCTTCATGAGATATGCCTTAAACCTGCAGCCAGAAAGTAGCTTAGAACTGGGTGGGCCTGCTTCTGTGGGGACAAGCCTAGATGCTGGGACCAGAGGTGCTGCCCTGGCACATAGGGGTGAGAGGGCCAGCCTCATGCTGGTATGGACCTTACATTTAGAAAAAAACAACGACCTGGTATTAAGTATGGTCTAGAGCCTGGAGCTGGTGGTGCAGGCAGGGGGCTGGCCTAACACAAGCCTGAAGCTCTGGGCCTTGGGGACCTTGTAGGACCTGTAGGACCTGTGGGACCTGTGGGACCTGTGGGACCTTTTAGGACCTGGTCCTATAGCAAGTCCTGTTGCACGAATTACTAAATGGTCTTTTAACAGAAAATCCTGGGCTAGAGAGATGGCTCAGGGGTAAAGAGCACTGGCTGTACTTCCAGAGGTCCTGAGTTCAATTCCCAGCAACCACATGGTGGAAAAAAAATCTGTAATGAGATCTGATGCCCTCTTCTGGCCTGCAGGTATGCATGCAGACAGAACACTATATACAAAATAAATAAATACATCTTTTAAAAAG